ATTAGTAAATTGTTGCATTATTATCGATTCATTCCTCTATACTGCCTCCAATTACCACAATTTGGCAACTGTGTAAAAACTCTGAGTATAAATGCCTTGCGGCGTTATTCACATTAAATATTATGAATTGCTTAATATTAACTATGTTTGAATGGTGTTTAAAATTGGCGTAAATGCGATAACCCTGACACATGTCCACTTTGGTCTGACCTTTTCAAGAGTCTCGTCTTAACACTATTTTAACTTTCCATTTCATTACACTTTAGTCATTTACTTTGGGGATTTATCCAATTGCTTGCAGATGCAATTATGTTGTTCATGCTTACAAGGCAAATCAGTCTGTGAAAATTGAGTTCCAAATGTAATTCGTGACACATTTGAGTTCAGTATAGCTGTAACATGATCATCTGTATTGCATTGTGTTGGATGCTGCGATTCTCTGGACATATTAACTGAAACTGCAGTGTCCTGTGACCACAGAACTTTACCCTTTATAAAAATTTGTTTATGATTTGTGCCAGGATTATTTGTCATTTTTCAAATATTTCCTGTAAATTTAACATTAATTTGATAATGGTATAAATTGATTGAATTTAGCTCAATCCCCTTTATTGGTAGGAACATGTTTTGACTTGGACTACTTTGTGGAAGGTTTTGACAATGGCAGTAAATGGGTTTAATAATTTAAAGTGATCAAGAAAATGGAACTATTTTTTCAATGAAAGTGTAACTTCTTGGAAAGTGGAAAGTTTGCATATTCTGTAATGCCATTGACATTGAGATGCACATCACCACATATATCACGGTTTTCTTTGCATCTGTGTATTTGCACACTGAAATTTAAAGTGAGAGCCATTATTGTCATGCCATTTTGTGTTCAAAATTGATCCCATGTGCCTATACAAAGCTCATGTAAATATAAACATAAATTGGAGCATAACCTTCTGTTAGGTGCTTTCAATTTGTTTGAAAAACCTTTGAAATTTCCAGGAATTTCTGTCTATCTGTCTGTGAGTAACAGCTGCTAGTTAGGTAGCAAGCGTGACTTGAAATAAAAACCGACTGTAATATATCGCTTTAGGTATCTTTTTAATGCCTGAGGTATCTTGTAAAAATGTGAAGTACTTGAATACATGTCTGTCAACCGTATAAAGTACACAGCAGTCGGTCTGTATTGAATGACGTTCAAATTTGAGTCATTTAGCTATTTTACCCTACTGTCAAAAACTATTAACCGAGTAATGGGCAGATGCAGTCCTGTTGTGATGATTGTCACGAATATAGCGCTCAAGGCAACATGACTGTTCGTAAAATCATTTGGCCTTCACAAATGCACTAAGTGTGGTCTTCTTTTTTTCATTTTCTGGATCTGAATTCGTCAAAGTTTACTTTTACTCAAAAGTATAAATGTTCCTTATGTTTACCATTACTAAAAGGTACTTGTTACTGATTGATTAATTAATTAATTGATTGATTGATTGATTGATTGATTGATTGATTGATTGATTGATTGATTGATTGATTAACTGATTGATTAACTGATTGATTGATTGATATACTTAATGATTGTTACAGTTGGACGGTTAAACGATTGAATTATTAAATGGTTCTCAATTGGTACTTTATAGAATTAATTATTAAGTGGTTTAATTTACTGGTTGGTTGACTACCAAGATATTGATCTTGTTAACTTTTTCACCACCAGGCTTTCTCATCCAAATTTGTCTGCACTTTTTTCTAATATTCTTTTAATATTTTTGGCTATGAACCCTAATTTTGGAGTCAACACTCAAAATTTGAGTCACTTTTTAGTTTATACTCAAAAAATTTCGCTATTTTTGTCCCAATCTTCCGAAGGAAAGTGCAGACTATGAACAGTACTATTTTGTGAATTTGTGATGAAAAGAGGGAACTGATGGTGAAATCATTAAAGTTAGCTGTTATTCTTATTCTAACATTCTCTACTTGTTGGTCATTGAGCAATTTCTTGTCCAGTCAACTTGATTGTTTTTTTAGTAGATCAATTAAAAGATAAGTGACTGTCAAATCCTCGTAAATCGTGTGAAGTATGTTTGAGTCAAAATCTGATTAAATAAATGCGTCTGTAAATCGTTTAAGTTGAAATGTGACTGAAATACTATTTCTTATTATGAACTCGCTTCTGTGAGTGACGTGTTATAAATATGGTGAAACGTAATAAGAAAATGAAAGCTGTTCTCCTATTTATAGCATGCTTTTAATGACCATTAAATCTGAGTGGATAATGTTTTGCATTGTTGTCAGGTAATGTACATGTGCAGTCGCAATTGACGTTGAGTGACAGTACGTTTACTGATGATGTCATAACTATTACAAAATTAATTTTTATTGAATAATACAACATAAATGTAATGCAGCATTGCCATGCGTGAAACCTATAAATCTGATCTTATTTGCATACAAAGTTTTTATCAGATAGATGATGTTTTTATCGGTAGCGTAGTGGTTGTTGCACCAAACCCATTCATCGATAGGTCCTATTAAAGTTGAAATCCTAACTAGGGCAAAACACAAAATAAAATGGGTGAGTATGCCGCAGACTTGAGATTTGAAAAGGTCGAAGCCATTGGCTGAAATTCATTCACTGTTAGATGCGACTTTAGGGGGGGGGGCATATTCTCTGCTTGTGTTTGACCTAGCCTGTTTAATGCCAGGATAGATAACACAGAAAATTGCTAATTGATAAAAAGATTGCCCATCCCCTGTACTGTTGCAGCCCCAAATACTGAACATGGTTTCTGTGGCAAAATGTACAACACACAACACCGGGTACTTTCAATATTCACATTACAAAATATTTAACAGAGACATCAGTGAACTGTCACATGATCCTGAATTAAAAAAAAGTCGTTGTCGTTGTTGTCAATAAATATAATTAAATATACACATTTGGTTTGCATTAAAAATGACCTTAAGAATGTGTTAAATGGAATGAAAGCTTCTCTGTACATGCTAGCTTAGTAATCGCTCAAGAATTTAAAACTGAGGGAAATATGACATTAAGGCTTTTGGCGACACGCTAAATACGTGTATGCGCTGAAATACCATGTGTGTATCAGTGTGTGTGGTATAATTAAATAAAACGTGTCATTGCAACCATGTCATGTTGTCAACTAATATGCCGCTCCGCTGGGTGGCTATTATATCCATTTTGTTCGTCAGGAATTTTGTTGATTACCCATTCCCCGGAATGTCGCTTCCCAGGGAGCCTTTACTGCGAATATTGCGCCTCCCTATGATGAAATCAATTACTTGGCGTAGGTGTAC